CTCTGTCACCATCTATAATCACACACTTTCAGAAATGGCTGATTTTGAAACTGTCAGCAAGCTCACTGGAGTGTGTCCACAATCCAATGTACAATTTGGCTTCCTTACTGTGAGAGAAAACCTCAGGCTGTTTGCTAAAATAAAAGGGATTCTGCCACATGAAGTGGAGCAAGAGGTATCTGAACATATTGCCTGTCAAACAACCAAGAAAATGAAATTGCTTGCCTAGAGAACTCTAAATGGGTTTGTGTTGTTTGTATTTTGCCTAAAGGTTAGGCAAAAGGATCCTTTATAAAGTCAGAAAAAACTAGGTGTGGTAGCACATGCTTATAATCCCAGCTTAGGAGGCTGATGCAAGAGATCAAGGCCAATATCAACAATTTAGGAAGGCCCTCAGCAACTTAGTGAGATTCTGTCTCAAAATAAATAAATGAATGAATAAATAAATAAGTAAATAAATAAAAGGGCCAGGGATGTGGCTCAGTGGCAAAGCATGTGTAGGTTCATTCCCAAGTACCAAAGAAAGAAAGAAAGAAAAAAACAAATGATAATGTCTTAAAAATCTTGGGTTTTGGACTAAATATTCTTTATGTGATTAGGTACAACGAGTTTTACAGGCCTTAGAGATGGAAAGTATTCAAGACATTCTTGCTCAAAATATAAGTGGTGGACAAAAAAGGAAACTGACTTTTGGAATTGCCATTTTAGGAGATCCACAGGTAAGTTGAAGTAAAACCACTGGTGAAATCAGATTGAAGACTATGAAGCTTTTGTGCTAGATCAAATGATTTGCAAAATATAAATGTAAGAGAATTTTCACAATGAAATTTTAAACTCTAAGGTATTTCTTTCCAATATTTGTGCAAGCAGAGTGTTTTTTAGAAGATTTTTTCCTGAGTCGGAAAATTATTTTAGGTTTATTTCTACCATCCAGGTTTTGTTATTGGATGAACCAACTGCTGGATTGGACCCTCTTTCAAGGCATCGCATGTGGAATCTCTTGAAAGAGAGGAAATCGGACAGAGTCATCCTCTTCAGCACCCAGTTCATGGATGAGGCTGATATTCTGGCTGGTAGTTTTAAGTTTTCTTTCATTGATCTTAGTGAGAATTTAGGGACATGTGTGGAATATGAGTAGGTGCTCTCTAGCTGTATCTCACTGGCATGGGCCAAGACAGGAGAGTTTGGCTGTCACTCACTTGAATGTCTGTGTCCCAGAGTACTTTGTCCCATGGATGTATTCTGATCCTACTGCAGAGCAGCTGGACTTATAAAATATATGGAATATTCTCTAAGGTCTATTATGTTTTATTCAGTGTAATGTCAGTTGTCTTGAAGCAAATTGTTTAGATTCATAGTGACTTTTTAGACTATGCTAGAGACTCGTTTATCATAATTTATCATTGCAGTTGTTGGATGATGAAGTGGTTTACCTGTGGCAGAATTAGGATGTATCTATTTTAGTGTGTCATGCTTCTAAAAATCATTATTTGTTATTGGAGTCACTCTTTTATGAGTTGTGAAGAAATAATGCCCCAGTAAACTTTATCTTTTGGTTCTTCCTCACTAGACAGGAAGGTCTTTATCTCCAGTGGGAGGCTGAAGTGTGCAGGCTCTTCTCTGTTCCTGAAGAAGAGATGGGGCATTGGCTACCAGTTAAGGTATTGCTCTTAATGGTGGGGACATATGGAAAATTCTGGGGGCAGGCGCAGTCAACATCACCACATCAAAATAGGCTGCACAATCACTCTTCAAAAGAGCTGAGTTAGCATGAGGTCACCCTGCCCTCTTAGTTAAAATATAGGATACATGCAAGTAGACACTGAGAATATAAGGATGGCTATCTAGGTTTAAATAAAATGCTTGAAAATGTTTTCAGAACATATTACTTGCTAAGAGTAACTTACAGGTGTTTCAACCTTTTCTCTTAACATCTTTCAGAAGTTTGTTTTTGTTTTTCTTGACAGTTTCAATACTTTCCTCTCAATTCTCCCTGACTTCATTTTATCTACTGTTCTTTTCTCTCTCCTTCTCTTCATGATAATAATTATTATCATGATTAAGTAATTCCTACCACTTATTAAGTGTTGGCTACATTTTAGGGATTGCTAAGAAATCTAAATAAAGAATACTTACATATCTAACCTCCAAATAACTCTAAAAACTGCTACTGCCATCCTTTTTGAAATTTTTTTTTCTTAGTTGTAGTTGGACAGAATACCTTCATTTTATTTATTTATTTTAATGTGGTGCTGAGAATTGAACCCAGTGCCTTGCACATGCTAGGCGAGTGCTCTACGGCTGAGCCACAACCCCAGCCCCTGTCATCCTTTTTTTGATAAGAATACCACACACCAAGAGTGTTCATAACCCACTGTCTTGAACGTTTATAAGTGGTTGAGTTTGGGATCAAGATTATAGGCATGGTGTGATTCACTGACTTTTGCTTCCCACTTAAGTATTAATATTTCTTTAAAAATCATTTTAAGCACTCCATCTCCCAGGGTCATTTAACCTTGGACTAAGTAATGCCCCACCATTACTTACTCCAAGTGCTTACTTGATCAAAACTATCATTCTTTTGTTATCATTTGTCAAAACTCTGTTTAATCAGTACCTCCACTTGAAGGGTGTCACTCTGTGTCCTCCAGGTATGTGCATGGTTGTCTTGTTTCTGCTTGAGAGAGGACATCTATCTAACATGTCCTCCTCCAGCTCATTTAACTGTGTCCAAATCTATCCATTTTGAAGCCTATTCCTAAATGTTTTCTCCTTCTTGATCATCCTCTTTTTCTGAAAATCTGAAAGCACTTCTATGAATTGTTATTTTAGGTGACTTTTTAGCTTCCTTGAACCTTGGTAGCTTCATTTATAAAAGAGCAGTAATAACACCCATTTTATACTTAAGGCTGCGTGAGCACTTGACAAGGTGTGAAGTTCTTACCTTTCCTCTCTTTCCCTTCTATATCACGCTGCTTTGTATTGCTATCTGTTGCAAGCTCCCTTCCTACTTGGTATTCCTAATAATGCTAAGCACAGAATAGTGGCTTTAATTGATTTTTTTAGGTTTATGTAATCAGTCTATTGTGATGTTCGCATCACTCTTTCTTCTCAGTACCTTTCAGTGGATATGACTAATGGGGTTTCTAAAATCCAAAAATATAATAAATTTTAAGTGGTCTTATCAAAGGACAGACCAACTTTCAATTGGCATGAAAATGATAAAATTATATGACATGTACTGAGGTTTTACCAGGAAAGTCCCTGTGCTATCTCATCTGCAGTATTTTCTTCTGTTTTTAGAAGTTCTTTAGGAAGCTGGATGTTATTTCATCTCATAGATGAGAACTCTGACGCTCAGAGATGTTAAACACTTTCCTGGATGCAGATCTAGAACCAGCATTAGTGTGACATTAGACCTATGTTCTTATTTTGGTACCAGAGAGTGAACCCAAGAATGTTTAATTACTAAGCCACATCCCCAGCCTGTTATATTTTTTTATTTTGAGACATTTGAGATAGAGTCTTGCTAAATTGCTGAGACTAGCTTTGAACTTGCCATCCTTCTGCCTCAGCCTCCTGAACCAGTAATTATAGGTGTACGCCATGGTGCCCAGCTAGACCCATGTCCTTAATGACTATACAAATTACCTCCATTTTTGTTTTACTGTGTACAAGTCCAAGAGTTTGCAGAACTCATACATTACTATGAAGGCAGAATTCAAAGTTGGGTTTTTGAAGAGGTAGAGACAAAATCAAACCTCCCCCTGCACCCCAGCCCAGGCAAGATTTGGCTGTATCTCTCTTTCTTCCAAATGATAATCTTTGAGATATGTCATCTGACTCATTTTTCCCTTTCATAAGTTTCTCTGCTATTTGTGTAGATTAAACAGCTTGGAATATATTAGTATTATTATGTTTTTCTTCTTCCAATAGATTTTACATTTTTGTCTCATAAATATTGATGAAGCGACAAGCACAAACTACATAGTTAAGATGTGGTTTTAGAGTTAGTGTTTGATAAAAAAATAACTATATCCCATTCTTTTTAAATTTAGTTTGCATCTGAACGAAATGTGTGATCCAGAGAGCATAACATCACTGGTTAAGCAGCATATCCCTGATGCCAAATTAACAGCACAAAGTGAAGAAAGACTTATCTATATTTTGCCTTTGGAAACGACAAGCAAATTTCCAGGTAACAAAATATGGAGACCACAGAATGACTTGGGAATGGTGTTACTGCTAATAACTGGGCTGATGAGAATGATGACTACTTTTAGTCTGGTACTATGCAGTAACTATCTGTTCAACATTTCTAGTCCCAAGGTCACCTCTGTCAGCCCTTGACACTATCCTTTTGTCATTTATGAGTAAACCAAGGCACATAGAAAAATATGTGTTGAGTTGTACCACATACAACTAAGAGGAAAGCATCACATTAAAATTAGGATTTGGGGGGAATTTGTTTCAGGAATGAATGAGATGGTCAGGGCAGGAAGGAGTTTGTGAAAACAGTGGTGAACTACTGAAGGAGCTAAAGGAATTCATAAACAATGTATATATTGTATGGGCTCCACATTATAGTGCAATCCAGTGTACTGAACATGAGCGTGGTCATCCGGTATGCTACTAAACATTCTAAAATTCACACCTTCACTGCAAATCCAAAAGCCTGTGTGAGTACACTGTTACCACTCTTTTATTGGATGTCCCAATAAGCTGTTTTATCTCCCAATAGTTTCAAGATAGATGACTTTTATTTATTTATTTTGAGGTGTAGCCTATCAGTATTTGCTTACCTTATTGTGTTCAGGAAATTTGCCAACTCTTCAAGGAAGATCAGGGGCTACTGTTATATGTTGGAGTAAATAGGCCTGTCACAATCGTGACTAATAAAGAAACAGCACCAGACCGTAGCCTTAATAACATACCGATAACTATCACCTGACTTAATATATTTAAACGTTTTGTTAAAACATGAAATTTAAATAAAGTACCTGGACTGACATGTAGTGCCTCTGGCATTTTGTTAGGTCTAAGATACACGTGATTAGGACGCACCACTAAGAAAGAAACAAAAATACATAATGCTGCCAATGAAAATAATGTATGATCCCTCCTCATTTCAGTTATGTTGGAAGGTCATGAAATATATTAATCTTAGATCATTGAGATAATGGTAGTCTTAGATGTACATATAATGTCTTTGAGATATAGATCATTATGGAAACAGAAATCTTTATGAGGACTACAAAGCACAGTTTCATCTGATTGCTTATTAAATGAATTCCAAAGATGGTAAGCAACTAGAGACAGACTAAAAAAGAAACTAAAATTAGGTAGGTTTAAGAACTCCTTAGAAGTCACGAATACATTTCTATTTTTCTTTATGCAACACATAAGATAAAAGCTTTATTTTCCAACCTTTTGTTGTTGTTGTTGTTGAAATCCTTCAAAAGGACCTGTTGTTCCCTCATGAAGAATTACTCCATTTCAAGACTCTTGTGTAGTTTTCACATCATGGTCAGAATCTTTGAGAGGAATGGAAGGAGGTGGGGGGGAGAGAGAGATGAATCTGAGAGTAGGGACAGAGTTACATAGTACATTCTCTGAATTACATAGTAAATACTTTGCCCTTTCTTTAATTTATGCTTCTTTGAAATAGGAAAGATTCTGTGACAGTTACATATTTCCATAAACATTAGTTAATTTGCATTTGTTATTAGAGTTACCTAACAATTATTCTTAACATGAAAATATGAATCTTTATTCTCTGGAAAATATTCTTTAGTTAATTGGAGCTTAGAATTAAGCATTCCCTATAATATAACAGAAATAAAGCTTTAAAAAGTACACTAAATAAAATATATTTATTTTTTAAAAACTGCAGTTTTCAAAAAATAGAAAAAAACATGTTTACATTTGACTTTGAAACTCAAGAAAACATGGAAACTAATGCACTACATAGATGTGAAATAACAAATTTCTATGTCATGATTCGTTTCTGGTAAAAGTGTATTTGGTCGATCATTAGTGTTTTTGCTTTTTGACAAATAAAATTATCATCAATGTCATTATAAATTAGAATATTCTGATCTATTTTTTGTTTATTTTTTAGATCTTTACAGGGATCTTGATAGATGTTCCAACCAAGGCATTGAGAATTATGGTGTTTCCATGACAACTTTGAATGAGGTATTCCTGAAATTAGAAGGAAAATCAACTGTTGATGAATCAGGTAAAAAAGAAAAAAGAAAGAGGTGGGGAAGAAGCCAAGAAGGGAGGGAGGAAGAAAGGAAAAAAACTTGAATTTTGTTTTTCTGTGAAATATTTTATTTTGTAAATATGCTTTGAATGGTGAGATTGTATGCATCTGGTGGTACTGGTCTTTGGAAAGCTTAAAGCAGAGAAGAAATATACCTCTGTGGAATACAGTGATGTACTACACTAGGTCCTCATGAGGTAGACAATAAATATGCTGTATAATGTTACCTGAATATAAGTGCTATAGAGAAAAGAAAATTTATATTTATATTGATACCTACTTTTCTTGAGCTTTTTGAAGGTATCATTCCAGTGTATTGGGGATTCAGTTGTTGCACAAAAAGATCTGATGTCAGTCTAATTGCCTTTGATTGAAAAGTATTGTCTTTACTGTCTGATTGCTTCTAAGACATTTTCTTGGTTTTGGTTTATTATCATCTCACTGTGTTTATTCTTTCTGAGCATTTTACATTTTTAAAAAGTTAACCTACCATGACTCACATAGCATTAACAAAGTTTTGACAGTAACCACTTCTAATGCTGAGATCTCAAAAAATACATGCACATCTCAGGAGTGTCATCTGATTCTCTTTGAGTTCCCTTGTACTCAAGTCCTATATAGAGCAACTTCTGCAACCTGCACAGCATCAAAAAAGGCTTATCAAGTAAGGGTGCCTGGAAATGGAGAAAAACAGAGACATTATCAAGTAAATCTGGGGCCAGGTGGGACACTTCACTCTGACGGAGGAACAGTGACTCAGAAATAGCTCCATGAGTTTATTATACAGCATCTCATAATCAGGAAGTTAAACTGCAGGGGCATTGTAAATTGTTTAAGGCTTGTAAGCTGTCAGAGGCTTCTTTGTGCACTAAAAAGTTATAGAGCTAGAAACATTTTTTGCAGCTATCCTATTGTTGCAGTGATAGGAACATTCTGCTGCACCCAGGAAAGCTTTTGTCCTGGGACATTTAATAACTTTTAGCTTCAGAAGCTGAGAATCAAGATTGACAAAATCTTCATCTTTGGCAAGGAATATTTCCCAGGCTTGGCTTTTGCCAATGCTGTAGGATCATTCAGTAACTGGGGACTTACCTGCTCTCTATGTTGACCAAGTATATTTTTAGTTCCCTCTTTTCTGTTTTTATCTATTTTTGAAGTTACATGCATGGTACATGTTTTCAGTGGTTATAGGTTAACATTTGTGTGTGTGTGTGTGTGGTGCTGGGAATCAAACTAGGGCTTCATGTATATGAGGCAAATGCCCCAGCCCTTGCAATGAACTATTAATTTACATATTTTATAGCTTTCTAGAAGTCTATCAGTTTTCACTATGCTTCTCCTCAAAATTTATAAACTTTTATTGAGTTCTTAAAAATATTAAAAGTACTCTTGGTATTGTCTTTATGTTCTTGCAGGTGAGTACTCTTTTGCTTTGGTTAGAATAAAGTTTATCTCTTGCAATGAAGATACTTATTTATGAGTTTATTTTAATTGATTTCCCTAGAAGAATTCCTGCAAAGGATTTTTTTTTCAGAAGGCACAAGTTTTCCTTTTGCTATATCAATATTTTTGCTTCTGTCTCATTTTCTCAGTAGTTTCTCTAAAAATACCATGAATCAGATTACTTTCTCTTAGCCCAGTAGGCTAAATCTGGCACCTTTGGTTGAAAAGATGATCATAGGAAAAGCTAAAAATGCACAATTAGTTAATATGGCACCTTATAAATGATTTATCTTACATTTTAGATATTGGAAATTGGCAACAATTGCAAGGTGATGGGGCAAAAGATAGGGGAAACCTTGTTGAGCTGGAACAAGTGCTGACTTCCCTCTATGCCACAAAGAAAACAGCAAGTGGCATGGCACTCTGGAGGCAGCAGGTCTGCGCAATAGCCAAAGTTCGCTTCCTCATGTTAAAGAAAGAAAGAAAAAGCCTATTAACCATGTGAGTATCTGGATATTTCAGATTTGTTTGATCTGTGCACTCAAAGAGAGAGAGAGAGAGAGAGAGAGAGAGAGAGAGAGAGAGAGAGAGCACAAAAGAAAAAGGATAAAAGAAACACTCAGATAAAATAAGTCCCAGTAACTGCATATGGTCTTAAACAACAATGACTACAACAAAACTGCTCATGTGGTTACTTAATCAAAACATATAACAGTTGGGATTCTTTCGATTTCACACAAATTTTGTTCATAACAATAGGCTGAAGTAGTTCTTAGTGCACATGTGGATGATAGCACTTGGGTCCTGTTCTAAAAGTGACAAAATTTTCATTTCTCAGCAGCTTCACAGAAGTGGAAATAATAGAATTCAGTGCATGTACATGCATGTGTGTGTGCATGCTTGTGTATGTGTTTGTATATATGTATATTTATATGAATATGTTTATGTGTGCACGTATTTTAAGGAATTGACTCCACTTTCATGGGGACTGGCAAGTCTAAATCCACAGGGCAGTCCAGCAGGCTGGAAACTCAGGTTAGAATTAATGTTGCAGGACAGACTAGACACTCTCTCAGAACTTCAGTGTTACAGTCTGGGGCTCTGTGTATCTCTGGTTTAGTTCTACAGTTGCATCTAGAGTCCACAATAAGGTTTACACAAATTCCTATAGCTTCAGCCCTCATTACTGAATATCACTTCCTTGCATAAGCCCAGCTCTATATGGAGATATATAAATCCCAAATATTTATAAGCACGCTTGTGAAAGACTCTATTGTTGAATATTTACACATATATTAAAATATATATATTGCACATATATTAAAATAAACATGAAAGTTTTATTGGACAGGTATCCACCACTATAATGAAATATCAAACAAATTCTAAAGAGAAAATTTTATTTTAGCTCACAGTTTTGGAGGTTTCAGCGCAAGATCAGGTGGTCCCATGCTTTTGGCCTCTGGGGAGGGTGCTGCATCATGGTGGGAGGGAGGGTGTGGTGGAGCAAACAATCTACATCCTGAGTTAGTAGGTGGAGAAAAAGAAGAAGAGACTGGGGTCTCAGAATTGCCTTCAAGGTCCTCTAAGGACCTAAGGATAGAGTATGAAGCCCCACCTCCTAACAATTCCCACCTTGCAAGGGTACTACCTTGGACACCCAGCTTTCACACATGGACCTTTGGGAGACATTCAACTTCCAAACTAGTGTAACAACCTATCCATAAGGGTGGTTAGCTAAACATTTAAAATGCATATTACAAACTAGACAAATCTATGAACTATGCACTTAGTAGGAAAGAGATTTTGTCAAATGGAGGCATCAAACAATTCAGGAAGAACTGATGTAAGAGAATAGAACTTATTTAGGTGTGGAGAGAAAGAGTGTTAGAAATTCAGGCAGGGAAAATGTACTGAGTATGAAAGTGCATGTGGGATCTAAAGAAATTATTAATTTTAAGTTCATTGAAATAGAGACTGTCTCAAATTTTTTTAAAAAATAGAATATATAGAACTAAAAATTTTGGACTTTAAGAAGTTATTAAGGTTTTATTTATGTATTTATTGAAAGTTGACTGACAGAAGAGAATGCCAAGAAACTGAATTGGGCAATGGTGCAAAATTGTTTGGAAATAGTTGACCCTGGAAAAAATGACACAGTAGTTTAGGATAATATTGATAAAGACAGAACAGACAGAGAAAATAAAGGTCCATCTTGAAAAGCAGACAAGAGAAGTTGGTTTTGGAGGCAAGAAATAATGATAGGACAGTCAGGAATTTTCAGCCATTTGAAAAAGAGACTTCAAAGATGAGTGGGAAATGATCTGGCTTTGGAGCCCAGGGATCCGAGAAAATGTTGTGACTACAGAAATTGGAAATGGTATGGGAAAAGTTTCACAGTGTAGAGGGTCTGAAGGTTGGTGATATGCCAAGTGGCTGTGCTTCAGATAAAGGAAGGAAAGCCGGACTGAAATGGAGAAAGAGATGGGCACTAGAGAGAGGATTTAAACAATAATCAGAAGATTTCATAGGCTTGAAAGCAATGTCTGAGGCATGAGTAGACTGAAAAAGACCAAATGTAAGTACATAGGAATCTTTTCACTTTAGAAAGAAGAAAAAAAGAGGAAAGGGCATGATTCAAATGTTTATTAGTACTTATAATTTATTTCCATTATTATAACCATGATCCTCTCAAAACTAATGTTATGGTTTCCATATGAGGTATGTCCTCAAAGCTCCTGTACCAATGTGGAAATGTTCACAAGTAAAATGATTAGATCATGGCAGCCATAATTCTAAATTCATTGAAACATAAAATGTCTCAAAAATTTAAAAATATATATTAGAATATATAGAACTAAAATGTTTGGACTGTAAGAAGCTATTAAGATTTTATTTATTGAAAATTGACTGATAGATGAAAAAGCCAAGAAACTGAATTGGGCAATGGTGCAAAAATTGGTTGGAAATAGTTGACACTGGAAAGAATGAAAACAGTGGATTAATCCACTTCATAGATACATAATTTGAAAGCACTACTACTGCACTGAGTGGTAACTGTAGGCAGGCTGGTCATGAGTAGAGGAGGTGGGTCACTGGGATCATACCTGGAAGAGTTCACCTTCCTTGCGACTCGTTCCCCTTTCTCCCTCTGTTTCCCAGGCCCCTGAGCTGAGTAGCTTTCCTCCATCAGTCCTTTCCACCATGATGTTCTGCTTATTCTTGGGCCCAGAGCAATGGACTCGGGCTCCCATGGACTGAATCTCTGAAACCATGATGAAAAATAAACTTTTCCTCCTCAAAGCTATTCATGTCAGGTATTTTGGTCACAGTGACTAAAAGTTGACTAATACATCTAATAATCTACAGAAACTGCTACTGATTATTCTTTTATGTTTTCCTCCACATAGGTTAT